AGCAAGGAGCAAGTCGCAAGCAAAGCCTCCCAGTCATGCGAGCGGTTCCAGTGGCTATCCATAAATATTAATATCTAAATACAATTAATAATGATTATATTAACTAAAAATATACTGAAAAGAAAGAAGCAGAAGTTCAATGATAAATATGATCACGACGACAGTTTTTCAATACATAACCTAACAAAACCAAACACACCAACAACAACACAACCACCGAAAATGATGAAAAAGGGCATACCGAGAGAATTTATTGACATTGCAACCAATACAGATACAATCGCCACAGAAACCAGAGAGACTCAAGAAAAGTTATATAATGATGCAAATCAACAATTAAATATGACATTTGAAGCGTTTAAGGTAAAGGAAAACCAAGATAATATGTTTAAAATAATGCTTAAAAACTTTTGGCACAACACATACAAAAGACATGAACCAACAAGAACGCAAGCAACACAAACACTGAAAAACCAACGCGACACAATGGTGTCAGCCTTTACTAAAATGCTCGACAACAACAAACCACCAGAACCACCGCCAAAGAAACCACCAGACGAGGAGGACAGCGACGAAGAAGAAAAAAGATTCAAACTGACAAAAATGATAGAAATAATGCTACACAACGGCGCTACAGTAGCAGATATAATATTAAACTTATCACATAGCGCAATTGCAACAACAATAAATATCGCAGATTTAGTTAATCAAATAACAGCAGGAAATGCACAAGGTAGCAGTAGCAATTCATCAAATGAAGCTATTAGTGTTCATAGTTCTCCACCTATTACTGTTCATAGTTCTTCATCTGAAAGTCCAACAGAAATACCAGCACCAACTGAAGACGAAGAAGAAGACGGAGAAGAAAAACAAAATTATAATTCTGAAAAATTAAAATCTAAATAATATTATATATAATGGGTGCTTTTCAAAGTAAAAATAATGAAAACAATAGTTTGGAAGACATTAAGGTTTTAAGTATAGATGAAAAAACACGAGCAGACACTTTAATTATTAAATCTCTTCAAGAATGTGTGGCACGAATTGAGAAACTAGAGAAAGAAAAATCTGACAAATTAATATATAAATTACCTGTTCAATTATGTAATTATTCATTATTTTAAATTAATAATATTAACACAAATTAATATTATTAATTACTATCATAATCTGTCATTTCACTTTCGGGTAATTTTGTTGATGCATTGCTACATATATCATCTATTAAATCTTCTTCATCAACAAAATTATTTTGAAATCTTAATAATTCCTCGTCTGTTGCCCTTCTTTTTTAATACTTTATAAAGTTTATGTATCCAAGAATTAGTATGAAAATTATAATTACCTCTACGATAAAATCCACCACATCTACATAGTTTCATTGACATATTATTATATTATATTAAATTAGAATATCTTTATTCATCATTCGTAATTTGAAACGCCTGTTCAAATCTGATATGAAACATTTTGTTAATGTCTTTAGCATTCATATTCACGTAGAAGAAACTATAAGGTGCGTCATTAACGGCTTGATGATACATATCTAATAATTGCTGTTTATCAACAATGGCGCTATTTTCTTCAATAAAACTCATTAATTCACTGGCATTTTTCAACCTAAAAATATATAATGAACTGGCATTTAAACGAATGATAGGCGCTAAAACATTATATTTTTGTGTTGAACAAATTACACTTACTGCATCGTGCCTACCTCTTGTAAATAATCCATGTAATAATTTACTATATCTAACAAATTTAGGATCGTCGGCGTGATCGTCTATAACGATTAATATTGAATGTAGTTTCTTTATCTTTTTAGATTTCATATAATTAATTATTTTCTTCTGTCTTTCAATTACATTTTCTAAATCACTTGGATTATAATTATCAAAATATATTTGTTCTTTTTCATCATCCACGTGCAATTCATCCCTGATATATTTTTTAACTTCTGTAAAGGTTGGGTCATTATGAACGCTGGGTGAAAATATAAATATTCTTGCAAATGAATTTCTATAAACATTTAAAATAAGATTCTGAACTAAAACTGTTTTGCCTCCCGTCGAACTCGCGACTATAATACGTCTAAATGGTAATTTTGGCACGTGCTCGTATTTAGATTGTTTGAATTCATATTCAGTTATGTTTATTGGCTTTATTATTGGAACATCTGACATAATAAAATAATATTAAAGTTATTTAGAAAAGATTTTATATTTATTATTTTATATGAATAGCTTCTATTCAGATTATATTGATATAATAGATGAAGTAGAGAATTTAGAACAAGTTGTTATAACTGATAATAGATGCAAGAAAGTATGCTATTTTGTTTTAGAAATAATTAAGTTTGTGATACAATATATCAAAAATAAAAATGTAAATACTAATATAAATGGGAAGAAAGAAAAAGAATAAGACAGAATCAGTTGTTTCTTCAACTGATGAAGAAAAAGAAGAAATTGTTAAAGAAACATCAGTTATTGAGTTTGCTTGTCCAATGTGTAAAAAGATCTTAGAAATGAAAAATGAATTAGAAATACAAAAGAAAGGAAACTGTAAATGTTCGTGTATTCCAACAAGCTTCAAAATAAGTAAGAATGATAAGAAAATGAATATTGATAAAACTAAAGACAGTATAAACTTAGAAACAGATGTTCATAATATTGCTATACGCTTTGGGAGGGGAGTTACTCCATCCGATAATGGCGATAAGGAAACACAGGAAACGATACGCGAAATGATGAAAAAATAATAATTAAAATTATTCTATTATTATTTATAATGCAAGATGTTATAAATAATATTCTTAAATTCATTGATGTAAAAGAATTGAAGTTAAATAATTTTATTGAAGAATATAACGAAAATGATATATTAATTAATTTTGTTAATGACTTTAGAAATAGTAAAATTGATTTTAACATGTTTTATAATTCTATTAATTATGCTGATTTATTTGAACAATCAGATTTAAAATTTTATTGTAAAAGAATATATTCATATACTTTAAGATTTATTGCTAATTATGATAATAAAAATGCTATTCAGTTTTATGAAATTACATTGAGAAAAATGAATAATATTTACAAAAATAGTAACATTAATGTTGTTAATGTGTTTGAATGTATTAAATGTTTAATAATTTATATTACAGATAATATTGAAAAGTTTCATAAATATTCAAAATTTAGAAAAACTATTATTTGTAATTTAATTGGTAAATTGAATAATAATTTAACGAGTTACACAATAACTAATTTTGAATTGACTTATAATGATATATGATTTTGTAAAAATAAAAGTTTAGTTTTAAAAGTTTTATTTTATAATATATATATATATTTACATGGATGAAGGATTAGAAAAGATTGTTAAAAAACTGAACAAGGTTTTAGAACAGAATAAGAATATTTTAGAAATCTTGCAAGAAATGGAAAAGAAGAAACCTTTAACAAACAGTTATCAAAGTAAGGAAGTAGATCGAACCAATGGTGAATATAAAAATAAAAGAAATATTTATTTAAACAAACTTAATAACAAAGAAATTAAAGAACCGAAGGCTTCAACTATGACATTTTATCAAATTGACTATGATGAAGATACAGGGGTTTATTCTTGATTGAAAACATTTTTCTCTGAAAATCCGTTTAAAGACATATTGGCATAACTAATATTATGAGTTCTACAGATGATGAAGAAGAAACAGGATGCACAATGGTTTATCCTTGCAGTAAATGCGACGAAGCAAAGCCAAGAAAGGACTTTCACAAAATGTATGACAGAATTAAAATGGAAGAGATATTTTACAAAACATGTAAGGAATGCAGAGACAAAGTAAAAGCAACAAAAGAGTTAAGGAAGGAACAGAAGAAACGAATACAACCCCTGGAAATACATAGATTAAAGCCTTTGATACCATAGTTTTGCTATACTTATAACATGTAAGATCTTATATGTTGTAATTTTAGTTTAATTTTCCCGTATAAGCCGTGGGGGTGCTTTCCTACCTAGGCCTTTCCCATCCGCATTTTGCCATCCATATTTTACTGGGATTGTTTTCAAGATTTGGGTTAACGGTTTTAATTCTCCCTTTTCCATTGGTTAACCATTTTTGGGGGAGTGATAATTTGTGTAGTATGGCGCCGGGAGAGCTTAGAAAATACGCAGTTAGAAGACACTTAAAGACATGATGGTAAATAGTAGTATGGAAAACTTACAGAGATGCAGTAGGTGCAGAAAACAGAAAGAACTAGGAGAGTTCAAGGATGGGAGAAAAGTATGTAATTATTGCCTTTCTACTGCTAAGACTTATCAACAAAATCATCCCGAGAAAATGGCGGAGAAATGTCATAAGTATTATGTCAATCATAGAAACGAGATTTTGGAACAGAAGAGAGAAAAACGATTTGTGATCTTTGCAAAGTAGAAGTAGCTAAATCAGAATGGACGAAGCATTTAATCACTAGTCGGCACAAACGATATCAAATGATAGAAGCCGGGGAGAAGTTGGAAGCCGATCGTGGCGATTCGTGGTGGTGCGATGTGTGCCAAGTATTTTTAGCAAAGAAAACATCAAAGTGTAGTCATAATGGCTCGAAAAGGCATTGTGAATTAGCAAAGTCACAAGGAGTTGAGGAGTAAATGGGTTGATACATTTGTTTTGCGATGATTGTATCAATGCATTTGGGATATTTATTGGTTTAATGGGTGGGATTTTGCGCAGTATGGCGGGTGGAGTGGGGACAAAATGCGCAGTATGACGGCGGGAGAAGTCACCACTAACTAAAACACCCCCCACCCCCACCCCCCACCCCCACCGCCCACGACACCCCACCCACCACATTACGATTTTTTTTTTCATTCACGACCCACCTACGACACCCACCCACGACACCCGCCCCACCACAACACCCCCCCCACCACAACACCGCAAACCCCCCCCAACCCCCCCCAACACCACCCCCCGCTTCCGCCCCCCCCCCCCACCGGGCCTTGCCGCAGGCGTCGATCACGGAGCTGTAGACGATGGCGTCGCCCCGCAGGCCACTGGCCTCCAGCTGCAGCAGCCACTTCTCCGCCCGCTCGGCCTGGCCCACCTCCGCATCGTGTTTCTTTCTTTCCTTTCTTGTGCTCTTTATTTTGTTTGTTCCTTCTTGTTCTTTTCTTTTTTTGTTTTTCTATTTGTGTTTCCTTTTTCGGGGGGGGGGTTGGGGATACTGTCAACCCGAAGGGGAGGGGGGGGGGGGGGAAGGGAGGGGGGGAGGGGGTTCGGGGGTAAGGTCGACCCCAAATTTGATCAACTCCAGTTTGTTTATGGGGGTGTTCCCCTCCAAGAGTGGGGTTTACTCCCCACTAAACCCTCATATAAATCAACCCCTGTTTGTCAAGTCGCGGTGTCCCTCGATTTAGTGGGAATTCATCAGGCTTGTGTTTTTTTTTCCCCGGGGGGGGGAGGGGGGTTAGGGGGTTCTGTCGACCCCATTTTCATCAACTCCAGCTTTTTATGCGGCGTTCCCCTCCAAGAGTGGGGATTATTCCCCACTAAACCCTCATATTAATCAACCCTTGCGGTGTCCCTGGGTTTAGTGGGAATTCATCAGGATTGGACTTTTTCAGGGGGTTGCGGGGTAGGGGTCGAACCCATACTGTGGATGGGTGAAATCCGTTTCGCACCACTTGAGAACCATGGTTGAAACCATGAGGTTTGTTGGCATTTACAGGTGAATCATCATTCCAGGGTTCTTAGGTGGTACGAAATACAGTATCAATCAACTCCAGGCAAGATAGTGGGAATTCATCAGCATTGGTTTTTTTTCAGGGGTAATCAGCTTCAATTATTTTGGGGCTGTTCCCCTCCGAGAGTGATGAATCCCCACCAATCCCCACTAAACCCACTAAACCGCATTGTTGGAATTTTCTCGAGAGAACGGTTTGGAGGTGGCGAGTCTGCGGACACCACCCCTCTAGGATATTAGAAGATTACTAAAAGAGCACTAAAAAAGAACCTAGAGGGGGAAGAACAAGTGAAATCCACAAAAAGCGCATCCAAAAAGTTTTCTGGATTTTCAGGGCGAGGTGGTTTGGAGGTATGGAGGGCTAGGCATACTGTGGATGGTCGTGAAATCCATTAGACGCACCACTTGGGCATTTATGTTGGGTAATCACAATTTCAGGGGTTCCTTAGGTAGTGCGAAATGGATTTCGTCTACCCACAGTACCACTTACATAAGAGGCTAAGAGGTACGTACTGCCCTTGGGTTGGGATTTTGAAAAGCCGGGGGAGGCGGACAAAATGAAGCATCTGGCCCCAAGTTGAACCAGAAACTACTGCTAGGTCTTCTAGTAGAGGTTAGAATAAGGGTACCAACTTTTTTCCGTAGTCTATTTTAGAAAAGAAGCAGCGCTGGAGCATTTCGCAAGGTTCTCCTGGGATTTGGTGGCCTTCTGGTTGGGCACCTCCTGCGTTGGGCAAATGTCCATTTGCTTCTTCTCCCCCTGGGAAAAATGAGAAAATATGTCCAGTAGTGAAATAGATTACCATTAAAACCAACCTGGGAAATAAAAAATGATCTTCGTTTCAGCAAATGGGGGCAAGTGCCACCTTGGACAGGGCCCAGAGCTGCTGGATGGGGATGTCGCCCCCGTTGTGACCCCTCCCCGGCCTTTGCGCAAGCGTTGATGATGGCACCGTAGCATCTCACATTGGGCCTCAGGGCTTCCATTCGGGGTTAGAGTGCTGCCATCATCACTTGATTCTTGTGGTGAGCAATAACGATGTACCATCTTGCTCAACAAAAATTAAACACCCCACAAACAGGTGGGGGGGAACCCAACCAAGGGGGTCCCCCAAAAGTTGCCTCTACAAAATGTGGGCGTGGTGGGTTCCATGTGGATTGGTAAGGGAGTAATTCGATGAGTTTTGCCATTTGACACCCCCCTTTAGCGGGGGCCATGCCCGGACTCTCCGACTCCGGAGTTCCAAGAGCCTCCCTACTGTGGATGGACAAAATCCCTTTCGCACCACTTGGCAACCATGGTTGAAACCATAAGGTTTGTTTTACAGGTGAATCAATCATTCCAGGGTCTCTTAGGCGGTGCGAGAAGCGGATTTCGCAACCATCCACAGTGTGACATCTCGCTTCAAAGTTGCCTTTCCTCCAGCCAAAGTGTTCTGTTGGGATTCTTCCAGGGGAATTCCATCGGACTATCGGACCCAACCCCTGCCACAGCCTGCGGGCCTTCACTACATCAACCTCTTTTTGCAGATTCTCAGAAGGGGTCCCTGTTGGAGAAAATCGATGCCAACCGACACAAGTCGGTTTCTCTTTTGTTTTTGGACCAGTATTCATAGGGCTTCCATCCCAACCAGTGTGAAGTAGATGCTATTCATGAACGGTATGTGTCCAAAATGGCTTTCAACACCACGATTTGAGGGTTGCCAATTTGAGGGGAGCTTCCTTATTCACCCCGCTCCCCGACCCAAAACAGAGAAAGAAACAGAAAGTGAGACCTGACTACCCGTCCCCAAAAACACAAGCCAGGCCTGGGTACCCCCCCACAACCCAGCCCCCACAAAAAAAGCAAAGCAAAACACGAAAAGAGAGAGAGAGAGAGAAGAAAAAAAAGAGAGAGACAGAGAGAGAGAGAGAGAGAGAGAGAGAGAGAGAGAGAGAGAGATGGGCCGTGAACCCCTCACCCCCCACCCCCCCACCCCCCCACCCCCAACCCCCCCCCACAAAACAAAACTCAAAATATAAAACCACCAAAAAACCCTCTCCCATCCCCCCTATCTTAGTCATTGGGACCTAGGGGGGGGAATTTTATTTTAAAAAGGACGTAGGGGGGGGTCATTTTATTTTCCAATTTCTTGCAAAACGCTACGCATTGGTTTTGTCTCACTCCGGCGCAGCTCTGACCCAGCAGCCAGGCCTGGCAGATCAGAGTGTTCCACTCACATTCAAACACACAAACATCCATGTTGGGCCATGTTGCGCTACAATGACTGATGACAACAAATGCAAAGACATGTAAATATGTATTCCCAGGAATCTCTAGGCGATAGCTGTTTATTTACCTGCGGCTAAGTATGCGAGCCTGCCTGCACGTGCGTGAGCTTTGCTGTTTGCCTATCTTTGCGCGCGCCTGCTTGCGCAGTTGCGCCCGTGGGTTCGTGGGTGCTCGCCTGGCACGCTTGCGGGCCTGTAGGCTTGCCTGCGTATCTGGCTGTTGGTTCTTTGCACGCACACTTGTTCATGCCCGTACGGGTGGTCGTGCTGATTTCAGAAATCTGCACACATGCAAGCACACCCGCTCACGTGCGCCCGCTCAGCACTACACAATTGCCCGCCAAATGGTGAGCACCCGCATACGCCGCTCATGCCTGTCACATGGTGAGCACACCCGCGCACTCGCGCTCGGTCAGCTTTGCGCACACGCCTGCCACATGGTAAGCACACCCGCCTCACGCGCACCCGCTCAGCACTGCAGACACACACTTGCCAAGTGAGAAGCACACCTGCAAGCGTTGCACACACACACACACCTGCCAAGTTTTAAGCACACCCTCTCAAGCGCACCCGCTTAGCGCTGCACGCACGCCCGCCAACTGCTAAGCACACCCGCTCACGCGCACCCGCTCAGCACTGCACGCATGCGCCAAGTGCCGTGCTTGGGGAGTCCATGAGTTCTATTCGTTGAACAGGTTCCCGAAAATGCACAGCACCTAAGCGACACACAAACAGCCCCCAAAATCCATAACGTCCTTTTTGGGTGAAAATATGGAAGACTCGCACGGCACGTGGGCGAAACGCGTGTTTTGTCAAATCTCATTGGAGAACGACTGTCGAGGGCGCTCCTCTGACTTTAAAAAGCGAAAACAACACTTCTTTGTTGGGGGGGTCTCGTTTTCATCTGTTTCGTAAAACGCTCACGACTACAGTACGCGCTTGGTTTCCGACTCGGCGGGCTACTTATCTGCTTCCCTGCCTACCTGCCTGCACACATGAGTTCCTGCATGTTTGGCACGAATGCTTGCCTGATCTTGTCTGCTAGAATCCTACGTGCTTGCTCGCGCATTTCGGCTACAGTGAGCGAAAGTGAGAATAGCAAGCACAAACTCCGTGCGTTGGGCTTCGATGTTTACAAGCTTGGGAAGGTAGGCAATGGGCGGATCAGTTACGCAGTATGGCACATCAGTTTTGGGTTAGCTCCGACATGCTTCGGCCTTGGCCGCCTGAAACCCAGACTTGGAGTGTGCATGAAACATAAAGAAACTGCTTCAAACGCTGTCACCTTTCTCTGAAAATGATGGGCATCCCGGAATCCGGCGGGCATCCACAGGCAAAGCTGCTGCTCTTCCAGTCCACTCATGATTCCAATGCGCATTGGCGCGCCTGGTTTGAGAACCAAACAAATCCAAACAACCCAAACAATATTGAGAGCAAACTTCAGCACCTTAAAAGACATCATGTTACACCCCAGACGCCTCTTTGAACGTACGCTAGCTCCTTCTTCAAATATGGCGCGAACTGCGGCCTAGCAGCAACGAGCATGTCGTCGCAAGGCAACCGCCAACACATTCCCAGTGGATGGACAAAAGATCCGGCTGAAGGCCGCTTGCTCGATCATCCTGCTACACCCTGTTAATACTGGCTCAAGCCCGGTCAGCCTGGTGACTGGTTTGGTTTGTTCACTGGCCTGCCCTCTGCATTCTCCTTGCAGCAGCCTGGCCTAAGCGCAGACCCCCCTCCCCCAGAATCGAATAACAACTGCTCAGGTGTGCGCAAACATCCGCACACATGGCTCGCGGACATGCTCACAAAACACAACCACTGCGCTGCCTGGCTTTTGGCAAACAATCCTCTGGCCATCTCTCGCGAAAGAAACCACGGATTGCAGCAACTTTGTGTTCAAATCAAGCCTGCGCAGGCACTCACTCGCCTTTTCAACTCCCCCACGGCGTGCATCAGCGTCCACCAAGCCTCCCCTAGCCTGGTATGAACGGGGCGCTGATGGCATTCACATGCCCCACAAAGACCCGCAGGTCTGACAATCTTGCAGCCAGCGCGGTCTTGTCTTCACTCCCATTTGGGACCAAGCCCACGAACTTGCTCAGTACCGTCTGCGAGAAATCTCGCCCGTTTTTCTCGCTGAGCGCAACACAGAAGTAATCTGGCGCTCTTGCTGCCAGGATGGACCAGTTCATGTGCACAGTCTTACCATGAATCTTGATGCGGATTTCGCTCTTCGTGTTCAAGATCGTCATGCCTTGCTTGGCAAATCGCCTGGGCACCTCCAGCAAAAAGGCTTCGATGTTCTTGTAGCCTTGCTGACTGCGGCAGAAGTGGTGCACGGACCAGCCCTCAGCACGCACAGGCGCAACTGCTTTTGGCTCAGGGCCCAGGAGTGGAGCAGCATCTGCCGGCATGTGGGGCCACTCAAAGCCGTTCTGCAGCTTGCTGAGCATCTGCTCCTGCTCCTCCGTCAGTGTCACCAAAAGCAGCAGGCCCTCCGTGTTGACTGTCGCAGTGAACTCGCCCAAGACAGCCCCAACCGGGCTCAGCACATCGACCGGGTTGAGGCAGCAAGTGTACCATACGCCCGGCCTCAGCTTCACAAGCCGCTGCACGCGCACAACGCTTGTGCCGCTGGCGAACAGAGGGCACGGAACAGGCTTTCCTTGACGCAGCCGTCGGCCTCCATTCTTGCTTTGGCACAAAGCAGAGCGCCAAACTGTGTCCACAAGGCCAATCAGAGCGTGCAAACCGTCATGCCTTAGCAAACAAACATGGGAAGGAATGAAGCGAGCGGGGTAAAGCCGTTATATCTGACTGGGGGCAAAAAGAAGGGCTTTGTCACTTGACATTTCCAAGGGGGTTCCACTGTCAAGCCGAACACAAGGGCGGAGGGAGCAGCCTAGAATAGCCTGGAAGAGCGAGCTTTGAGCTTCCAAATGCCCTGCAAGTTGCTTCTCAACCGCAAAAACGGGACCAGGTCGGTTGACTGAGCTGTTCTTCCGCCCAAGAACTGCAGCAAAGCACCGCGAAACCAAGCAATCTGTGCGGCCTGAGGTGCCTGTAAGCTATGACTTGCGTGGACTCGCAGGACATTGGGCGATAAGATCGAATAGGCACAAGTGGCTGCTGAGCATCACCGCTGGCAGCTGAGAGGCCGCTACAAAGCAGCGAGCAAGCATCTGCTTGCGCCCGTGACCAGCTCACAGAACGAGCTACCTTCTGCCGAGAGAACGTGTCATGCTGCCTTGCCAAGGCTAGCTGATGAGACACGTAATTCCACTTGTTCGTTTTCTTGGCACCAGCCACCTTGATCTCGGCTTTGGAGAGGACTCCTTCAGCTTGCCGCACTCGCGTGCAGAAAGCTTTAATGCCGCCCTGCAGAAGCCTCAGCCGCCGAAGGCATCCAGCGGCGCCCTTGGCAGCTTCCGTGCTTTTGTCAAAGGCGGGCTGACAGCCAACTGTCTTCAAGACACAAGCCAGCGTTCGAAACTGTGAGCCTGGGCTTTCACCCGCGCTGTCAGCAGGGACCACTGCGGCCAGGTCCTCTGTTGTGTCTGGCTGCAGCTGCTGCGAGATGATTGCGTGGCACTGGTCCACCAAGACTGAGCGGTCCTCGGCAGCTAGCAAGGTGTCACCAGCGCTGCTGTCATTGACTGTGACCTCATGGGCTACATCTGAAGGTGGCACGTCGAA